CAGAAGTGGTGTCCTTACTGATACTCTCAGTTCCCAAGCAGGTGCCATGGAAAATTTCTCTTTTTCTCACTAACAATGCCAAAAGCATTGCAGATCAGCACTCGAGATTCTTTTAATGGACATAGAGTATTTTGCTATGTGGATATGCTACAATTTATTGAACCAGTTCTCCTCTGGTGAGTGTTTAGGCTGCCTACAGTACTTTGGAACCATAAATGAATAGGCTGACTCTTCAACAAGTGTGGTTCACTGTTATTTTTTTTTAATTTAACTTGGGAAATAAAAGAAAAGGTATCCCCACAAATTAAGGGGAAGGTAAAAAATGAGAGATAAGCCCTAGCTGGTTTTGCTCAGTGGCTAGAGATCGGCCTGTGGACTGAAGGTTCTCAGGTTTGATTCTGGTCAAGGACACATGCCCTGGTTGCAGGCTCAATCCCCAGGGGACATGCAGGAGGAAGCTGATCAATGATTCTCTCTCATCATTGATGTCTCTATCTCTTTCCCTCCCCCTTCCTCTCTGAAATAAATTAAAAAATAAAATTAATAAAAAAATAATATAAAATAATAAAAAATAAAATAAAAATGAGAAATAAATGCTGAAGTCTACAGATTTTTAAATCTGTAAAGGGTCCATCTTTGTTCTGCTTGGGCAGGCTTAGGCAGGAGCACAGACAGCCTGAAGTATGTCCATGGAAGAGCCTGTTCTCATCCTGTCATCTATTCATATATTTGAATAGTGGATATTCTCACAGTCCCTGGAGACTACCATATGTATGTTAATAACCCAAAAGCACTAAGAAAAAGGTAGACAAAATGTTGCTTTGCATTATTTCAGATTATTACTTGTACAAATGAACCCTCAGCAAAACTATAACAAACTCATTAAACAAAGAGATTCAAACTCAGACACTCTAAACACTTGTGTGCCCATGACTAGCTAGGTATCTGTAGGTATCTTTATACACGTCATGTAATTCTCATGATAAGAAAAATATTAACATCTCCATTTGTAGATGAGAAAAGGGAAGTTTAGATAGATTGTATTCTTTGGGCATGTCCTAATATGTTGTTAGTAAATTTCAGGGTTAAAATGTGCACCCAAGTTCCTTGTCATTTCCAAATTATCATTCTGTTAACTGTCCTGTGACTGATAACTCCTAGCTACAATGCTGGACTGGCATTCCATTAAATTAAATGGTAGGCTTTGCTAACTAGTGGAACTCAGTGTTGGGGTGTGTGTGTGTGTGTGTGTGTGTGTGTGTGTGTGTGTGTGTGTGTAATAGAGAGAATGGAATGTTATCATGCTTTATTTCGTTAGAAGAAGTTTAAAATAAATACCATATTTTTCTGGGACTGGAAACACAATCACATTTGTTACTTAAAACACAGAGAGAGCAAATAAAATATGCATATATGCTTTAACTACACTAATTATATTATGGCAGCAATCCTAAGTAAACCAGAAAATAAATGAGAAAACTCAACACAAAGGATAAGTGATAAAATGATACTAAAATGATTGTTATTAAAGTATTACCAGAATATTCTACAGTAAATGTGGCCTCTTCCTTATGATAGTGGCTTCTGCTGCTTCCAATTTGTGGGAAATTTTAAAATATAGTATTTTGAAAAATTGTTTTAAAGTATACAGATGCCTAAAAAATAGGTGTTGTGTAGCATGGCATTAAAATGTCCTCCAACATTTGCTCCTTACTCCACAGGGCTCACTGGTCCCTGTACATCCCTGCCTTCTAGTAATCAAGAGGGAAGACAGTATAGATAGGACAGTGGAGAGACTGGAACTGGGAGTGAGAGAACCTGGGTTCCTCTCCTTCTTTGGCTGAGTATTAGCCATGAACGGTTACTTCTAGATGTTTCCTCATAATAAGACTGGGGATAACAGCCTTGGTTATGAGGCTCAAATAAGATAAATGTATAGGAAAACACTTTAAAAATGTGAGGGTTATGTATAAATGTGAGAATATATAGCTTGACTCAAAGGGTCAAATGCTGCTATATATGAGACACTGGTGTGCAAGGTTGAGAATTTATATCTTTTTAGGTGATTTCAGCAGCTACTCAGATAAAGATGAAAGAGCCCTAGATTCAGAAGAAATGAAACTGGGCCAAAGTAATTTTGATTATGAACAAGAAATAACTAATAAAAATATAAACACCAGGTGATATATGCATAGGAAAGAAAAGAATTCTAATTCAAATATGTTATTCTGTAAAATCTATAGGGTAGTTTGTAGGCAAATCTATAGGGAAGACAAAACATTTCAACCAAGGTCACTCATTAATGGCAAGCCAAATATCTCATTAGGACCCAAGTTTTTCTAAAAACTGTTTTTCTGTTCATCTCACCTTAAGGCAAGAAAGTAGGTTTCACCATAATCTTTATTCTTTATCCAAAAAGAAATTTATGGGACATGTGACCAAGAAGTAGGTTCCCTGCTGTTTTAGGTTCAAGTCTTGTTATTATTATTATTATTATTGTGAGAAAATACATAAACATTAAATTTATGTTTTAACAGTTTTTAGCTGAATATTTTACTGAATAACACTCACAATACTCCTTATTGGGGCACAGACTGAATTCTAGAAAGATGAAGTGACTTGGCTAAAGATGATCCAAAAAAGAATCCTGGCTTTCTGGCTCATGCCCACTACTCTGCTCCAATTACCACAGTTCCTACCTTCTTTCTCAGGGTACTGGTCTCACTATTGCCATGTGTCAGGAAATTCTACTAGTGTGCTCTGCAAAATGTTTTATTTTCTTTCTAACTGACCATTTCAGTAGAATCTTCAACCTTTCTTTGTGAGACAATTTACTTCTATGAAAGAGAGGCTATGATTAAAGATAGTTGAGGGTTTTGCTAAATTTTAAAAAAGAAATATTCAGATTTCTGTATGAGGAGGTACTGAGGAAGGGAAGAGTGAGGAAGATATAATGTTGTACCTTTATCAAGCTCCATCTCCAAAGTTCTTGAACCATTTTAAAAGTGATTAATCACTTAGGGGCCCTATATGTCCACTATCCCTTCAGATGTGCCCAAGCTTAATATAGTAGAACTCTGCCTGAGTATGCCAAACAAGATACAGTTAGCCTTGAACAACAGTGATTATAATTGTCCAATTGGTGACACTTCTAAAACACATCAGTACTCTATTTATAAAATGGTTATTTGATTGGTTCTTTAGCAAAAGATCACTTCCATTGATCAACCAATGTTTATTTAAGGTCTATGGACTCTAAATTTACTCACCTTTAATGTCCAACACTGGGATTATTACTACAAAAGAGATTAAAGATTATGACACAATTGATGAATAACACATGGAGGGGAGATCAAGTGTTAAGCTAGTAGACATTATGGTTGAAATATAAACCGTGACAGAACCGCTTCTCAAACCATGAAAGAAAAGCCCTACAACAACTTTAAATGGTTTTGGGACATCATGATGTGAAATGAGGAGGAAAGAAAGTATACAATCTAGCAGGGGAGGGCAGAATCATAAATAGAACCCGCTACACAAAAGTCTCTGTAATTTAGGGATCTAACCTTCACATTCTTCAGCTTTCCTCTCTAGTAAAATAGGAGGTATCCAACAAGTCCCACCTGGCTCACAAAGAAGTGAGTTCCTAATGAGAACATGTGTGAAACTATGTTGGAACACAGTGTTACCAGGGCAGATTATTACATAAACTCTGTTCACTGGATTAACACCTGCAGTGAGCTGGATGCTGTAACACAGAAAGAGACTAGACTGCTTTCCAAAGAAACCTATTTTCCAATGAGGAGGGGAAAACTGTTAAGACAATTCTAAAGCTACTTCTTAACAAGATGATGATATTTGGAAGCATTTCTTAATCCATGCAAACATGAAATTGTTTAACAAACATGCACACCACTTTGGGCTTGGGCAGTCTTTGACCAATCAGTTAAAACCAGTCTTGTCAGTCCCCTCCCTTTTATTTGAGCTCTGTTCATATTATAGTCCATTACAAAATAAACTTTGAACATTCCTGGAACTTTTGAATTTTTAAAAAATATTTCCATATTTTAGAAAAGCTATATATAAAAAAGTGTGCTTTTTGTTTTTTCTCAACATTTTATTTATTTTTTTAAAAATATATTTTTATTGATTTTTTACAGAGAGGAAGGGAGAGAAATAGAGAGCTAGAAATGTCGATGAGAGAGAAACATCGACCAGCTGCCTCTTGCACACCCCCTACCGGGGATGTGCCCGCAGCCAACTTACATGCCCCTGACCGGAATAGAACCTGGGACCTTTCAGTCCGCAGACCGATGCTCTACCACTGAGCCAAACTGGTTTCAGCTTTTCTCAACATTTTAAACCAGAATATTTTTGGACTAGTTCAGGGCTCTGATGGTTTTAGAGGTTTCCTTTTGGGAAAAATGCTTCTAAGTAATAAATATACATCTATGAATAAATTATAATCCATATAATAGAACCTAAATGTATAAAAAAGTTTAGCTCTACCTTAATAAATGAAATTTTAATTTCTTATTATAAATGCTGTGTTTGCAATTTTATTCATTAAAAAAAATCACACCTTAATGTTTACTTTTTAAAAATAATGAACCTGGTAATCATCCTCCATTCGAAGGACTGCAGACACATCCTATAATTATAATCATTCTTGCTGGCATAATGCTTTATACTTTTCAAAAACGTACACACAAAAGACCTCCTAGCATGAGCCAGGCTAGAACACATAGGCTGAAATTGCTAGGAGCCAGCCTTTGGTTCCCAGATCTTGGGTTTTTCCACTCAATGGCACAATTCCTGTGTCTGGTTCAGTATTAAATATTCAAGAACAAAATGTTCTTAGAGGACAGAGAGAAATTTTCCATTGTGCAAATATGGATCATTCAGCTTTGGATGGGGTGAAATCCCTGGGTGTGCTGAAGATGATGCTGGTATTAGGAGTCAGGTTCAATGGCCCATCTATTGACTCTGGGTATTCTTACCGTCCAGGTGGCTGACTTGGCGGTGCTGGACTGTTGGAAGGACACATCGAAGCTGTGCGGTCCCGGGTAGTCAGTGTTGGAGGGGATGGCAGGTGACGGTGAGAGGGCGTCGAAGGTGGAGCTGGGCTGCGCATAGGGCGAGGGTGCCGTGACACTGTTCTGAGCGTGATCTGTGTTGTAGGGGCTGGTGGATGAGGAACCATTCTGAATCTGCTGGTCCATGCTGTTCAGGAGCCCCAGGTTCGTGTACTGTGGCTGCAGGACACCCAGAAACCCCAATGTTAGCCATTTAAGCAGCAGATCATTGTTTCAAAAAAGGCATCGTTTGGTGCATGCATTCAATAGAATTCAACCTCAGGTCCCTAATGTTAGAGATAAAATGTCCAATTGGTGTCACACAATCAGAAACAAGAAACATCTCAGGCATGTGTGTGTGTTGTACTGATCTGCACAGATCACACAACTCTTAACATGCAGCCTTTGAAGACTGTGGTCTTCTCAAGAGCATTTGAAAGTAGAAAACAAGGTGACGGAAGATGATTTTGCTTTAGGGGGTGGGCACACAGTGCAATATACAGATCTTGGAACATGGGAATCTGCACTTGAAATCTATATGATCCTATTAACCAATGTCACACTGATATATTTAAATTAAAAAAGTAGAATATATGCTTATTCACAAATGGGGCCAAAAGGTACCTAGTACTGAGTAGCTGCTTAGGAATTCTTTAAAACCCAATGAATATGGCCTGTTCTCCCTTTCCTTTATTTCCTTTGTATGGTGCTTAGAATGAGAGAGACCACTGAGTAGACATGTTCTCTAGGGAATTGAAGCATCAAATTATTGTATATGGGGCATATACATTATATCATTTTATAATTCTAAATTTGTGCCAGGGTATCCATTGCTCCCCCAAGGGATAGTTTCATAAAGCCTGGAGGGGCATGAGTAGTAGGGTAAGAGAGAGCCACCTAGATATTTTAAAAGGTAATATGCCTGTATATCATCCAAATGCAACCCAATTTTTTATCTGCTCTTTCATTTCCTAGCAGTTTATTCTCTATAGAGTAGAATATGTATAAGAGAAATATCATATAGTGATGATTAAAATTCTATGTTGGATGTAATTTAGATGTCCGTTTGCTCATGCAGCTCTTCTGCCAGAGGTGTTAATGTCTACAGAACTGAGCGCAGAGGAGGGACTCAATAAGATGTTAATGGAAAGAATGAATTAATTTCTTCTAACTTAAGCAGCAAGACAACTTTACTGTAAGACTATGAGAGAAGGGGAGTAATTTGCTCAAGCATTGTCTGATAGCAAAGGATGGGGATTCTGAAACCAAATCTGACTCCACGTCTAGGGCCTTGCCCATACCATTACAACTGTCAGCAATTCAAATCACTCCTAAACCTGAGGCAAAGTGGACACATTTCCAGAAAGGCCTAGTGTACTGTGTCCCCTTTGTGAGACCTTCTGACACACTGAAATCTCACTGTTTCCACCACTTCACTAAGGGAAGCCAAACTGAAGGCAAGAAAAAGAAGGTGGTTCTGTGGTACTGTAGTTCCTATTTTATAAAGGAAAAGAGTTGCCTGGCTCTTCAGTTGATATACAGGGTGGGGCAAAAGGAGGTTTACAGTTGTTCTTATTGAAAATTCAGCAATTAATAAATAAGAATGCAAGAATAAATTCTGTTTCTTGAACTCACCACTTTTGCCCTACCCTGTATAACTCTGAGAGTTCCAGATTAAGTCAGACAAACTCACAGAGAAATAAATGCTTTAAAAAGTTGAATTAAATTACCATTTCATGAAAGCATTTTACTAAGCCTGATGCATTTCACTTCACGTGGGAGGGCAAACGGACTCTGCCATTCCATTCAGTCCAGAGAGCATCTGTCTAAATGTTAACAGTCGCCTGCTCATTCCATTACATTTATACATTCGCATTCCACTGCCGAATGCCACGTCCCCATTTGCTCTTCAAATAACTATTAATCTCTTTACACTTATCCCCATGCTGACAAGAGCAGCTGTTTGTCTTGCCTTCTCTCCCCTCTAACTTTTGCATTGATTCCTCTCCTCTCCTCCACCTTCAGCTTCCTCAATTGACAAGGGCAGTAAAACTGTAGGTAAGACAACCAGAGGAGGGGAAAAAAAATACAACCTGAGACCCATACAAAGCATCCAAACCCTGGCTAAAGTAAAGTTGTTAGGTTTCCAAGACTGTGGCAAGAGACCTGGAAGGGGATTGAAAAGTTATTATTTGTGTTCAAGTTAAGGGTCAGTATACACAGTACTTGTGATGTCCTCTGGGAATCAGATAATGCTCCCAGAGGCACGCGCTTCCCCACAGCAGCACAATTAGGGAGGCAGCCGTCCCTGACATAAAGGACAAACACTGGGAGGAACACTTTCTCACAGGCAGTAAAATGCCTGCTGGGCCACCCCTTTCCCCTTCCTTCCAGCTACACAGAATGGAACTTCAGCTAATTGTGGGCTTGGATGAGAACAAAGGAACATGGCCCTTTGAATTCCCCCCCCCCCCCAATATGTGTAAAGAGTAAAGTATTGGGACCCAGCTTTAAAAGCCAATGAGCAAACACTCAGTGCTTCTCTTAAGAAAAATGGAAACTCCATTTACCCTGGAGGCACAAAGGAGACCCCTGGACTGAACATATTGGGTGGTCCAAAAACAGCAGAAACTGTCTTCCAAAAGTGATTAATAATATGATTTTGAGGGCCATCATTCTTAATTCCATATAGCTCCAGAGGCAATATTTTACATAATCATAACAGGATAAGCTTCCAAAGCAAATGTCTCCATTTATAACTTAAAGCTCAATTACTAAGGCTTATGAGGGGGGGAGGGCTGCTTACTATCCAAGGTAAAAATTTAAAAAACACATTTCAATTGAATTATTTCTCAAATTTTTACTTTAAATAAATATAAGCCAACTAGTATACACAACAAGCTTAAAAATAAAAATAGAATAAAACCTAAACTATTAACTATGAATTAAATGGCCCTGAACATAAACAACAACAAACAAAGAAAAAATTGTATTATTAGAAATCTAGGGTCCTTTTCACAGCTTCATTAAAAATCAATGCCGTGCCAGGCCTGGAGCAGCAGCAGCCAAGCCCGGAGCGTCCAGGTTGGGAGCGGCAGTGGCTAGACCCGGAGCAGCTGGTTGTGGAACGGACCAGAGCAACAGAGACCAGGCCCGAAGCAGCCAGGCCCGGAACAGCTCGCTCCTCGCCTACCCCTGCCCCAAGGCTGCCTCTCAGATATGGCTGGAAACTTTCGTGGGAACTTGAGGGTCTGCTGAATCAAGTGATGAAGGCTTAGATCTGGATGTGTTGAGTTAGTTTAGGACTGGGGTGTTGATCTGTGAGTGCCTTGGGTGGGGCCTGGATGAGGCTAGTGGACCTATTGGGAAATGTCTTTTGTGTGAAGTGTATCTTTGGGCATGTGGAGGTATTATTGATATGAGAAAATGCTAAGTAACTGATTTACTATCTGAAAAGGGATTTACTATCGGGGGAAAGGGAGGGAGGAAGAGACTGAACATAAACTGTGCACCTATGGATGAGGACAATGGGGGAGGGGGAGGGGGCGGAAGGTGGGGTGGGAACTTGGTGGAGGGGGGAAGAAATGAGGAACCTTTGTAATAATATGAACAATAAAGATTGATTTAAAAAAAAATCAATGCCATGAACCTGCAATAGGAAACAATGCTTTTGAAGATAATTTTAAAAAGCATTTAGTTAGCATCAATAAAAATTTATTAGCTTATATTTTTTATTTCAAGAGAGAGTGGACATATGGACAGCATGCGATTGGAGGCAAGAACAGACCAACACTGCAAAGAAGAATAAGTGTCACATGGGAAGGACTTACAAAAAAATTTGCAGAGCTCATTGCAAAATTAAAATGCAGGGCCTCTGGTTCATAAATTATGAAGTGTGCCGAAATGGTGACAGCAAAGCATGAAACCAAGCACAGGGCTCTTTGTGGTGGCACTCCACATGCCAAAGGAGCTAGCTCTGTGCCAAGTGAATGTGCATGATATTTGTCCTTTATTTTCCATCAAAGTGAAGCTGATGGGGTGAAAGGAGCAATCCGTGTGCCCCTTCTTTACTGCAAGTAATTCCATAAACATGGAGCTGGGATGCTAATGATGCTGGGATGTTAATTTAATGACTATTTACAATGACAAAAAAAGGCTCAGGAGTCAAAACAGGACACTTTCATACCAGTCACAAAATATCCTTGAAATCTATGGGGGTCCCCTATGTCCCATGTGTTTCTCATGTAACAAAAACTGTTTAAACATTTGAAATAAGAGGGAAGTAGTTTGTTCTTTTCTAAACACTAGGTATCTTAATCTCAGAATAACGTTATATACTTTATAGTCAACAAATGAGTAAATGAATGGATGGGATGAATGAATGAAAAATGTTTTTTATCTCTCCTATCACATTCGAAAAAGGTAGCAGTCTTATTTCACCAAAATATAAAAGGTGAAAATGACCACAAATTGTCTGATATTATGGTAAGCCTGATAAAGTAAAACAATCAACTGCTTATGAAATAACTTTGAAATAAGAGACATACTTCCTTGACCCAGGAAAATTACCAACATCTGTAGCTGGAATATATTCAGGTTCATCACAGACTGGCTAATCTGACCACAGAAAGGATGAAACACATTTTGGTCACAGAGACTTAGCATATTTCAGGTAATTACAGAACTGCCTGGGGATATTCTGAAATATGAAGCTAGTATGATAAGTGTAGGTACACCCAAAGGCTGGATCTCATCATTATATAAATATAAAAAAAGAGTAAAACTACCATTGCCAAATCTAGGAAGAGTATTTTCTTGTTTGGTTTTATTCCCTACTCTCCCTCCCCAAAGCCATTTCATTTTCATAGCCATCTAAAGACTCTGATTTATTTCTTCACTAAAATTCAATCTGGATGCTTAAAATTAAAATAACACTATAAAAGATTAGATTTTTCCTGGCTGGTCAACTGCTTTAAAAGTGCCCTATAAATGCAATTTCTTCAATTTCATTTTATGTCTCCTCTCACCTCCCCCCAATGGATTACACTGTTTAATAATCTTAAATTCTGAATATAACACAAGCCCAAATTCTCTTCTCAGCAACTCTGAAATAATGTATAAGTATATATTGCTGTAAATAAAACTCAATATTGAATACCTGGATTATAATTATTTAAAGT